GCTCAAAATGTTTCATAACCATAAATGCTGGACTACTATAGGGTTCATTGCTTGGTCTAATAAGTTTTGTTCTAATAATTCTTTTATCTGAATTTTAAATTCTTGTGCATCTTGGATGATATACATCATTGATCTAACTCTTATGATTATATATTCTATTAATTCTATTTTTTCTTTAAGATAACACGGCTTCCAAAATATTAATAAATTTTCTCCATAGATTTTTCTAACTATTCTATGAATTTCTCTATACTTATTTCTATTTCTGTTTTTAAAACTTTTTTATACAGTCTTTTGTTTTTAATTTCATTATTTATAATTGAATTTTTCTCCCATCTATCACTAGGGGTGTCTAAAAGTCCCGAATCGAATCCGAATCGAGCGGTTCTTCATAAGTTAAATACTCGAATGGGTACCCGAATCGAGAACCGATTGGTTTGGTTTGGGTCGAATCTCGAGTCTAGACCAAGAATCGAAACTAAAAATTTTTTTTTATTTTTATATTGAATTAATTAAATTATTTTATTTTTATAACTTTTAATTTATATTTCATTTTCTTTATGTAGACAGACTGCTTGAAGCAAATGAATTAACTTTATGTAGTGTTGCTGTAATATTAATATCTACTTTTTGGTATTTGTATGCATTGAATTAATCTTATTGGAAGACTAGTTATTTATATATTTTTGAATTGTGCTACGTTAATTTGTAAAAGTTACGAATAAAATGTTATTAGTTGTATTTATGTAGTGTTTTTGTAAATATTAAAAAAAATTAATTATGGTACGGAACCGAACTCGAACGGTTCCGTAATTATATTTGGATCCGACGGTTCTATTTATTAAATACCTGAAAATTTTGGGTCGGTTCGGTTCAGAAACCACGCTGGGCTGGCTGAACTTTATAGGATCTAAATTCTCTTGATATTTTTAATAAATGTCCGCAAGGGATTTGCAACATTATCATATAATTATTCTATTTATAGTATTGAAATTGTTGTATAAAGTTATTTCCTAATAATATATCATATTCTAGTTTGTCATAACTATATGCTTTATTTATTACTATCTGTTTACTTCCAAGTATTATACTTATTTTTTCAATACTATTTATTATTTGAGTATCTTCCCTTGTTACTCCTATTATCTTTATTTTACTTTTATTATCCCATAATTTTATTAAGAAATTCTTAAATATAGTTATATTACTTCCTGTATCTATTAAGGTACATGTAGTTATGTCTGATTCTATAATGGTAACTTGTATATATACAACTAATGGAAAGCTTATTAAATTATTCATTTAGTTCTTTATTACATAATATATTTTGTCTATTATGAAATATATATAGTCATTTTCTTTTTATACTATAATTTTCAAATCCATTTAAGAAACTTATTCCTAATAATATATGAGGGTTTATATTCATGCTTTCATCTATATAACATGGTACTATAACATCCATTCCTCCTAATTTTATAGGTACTTTTACTTCTAATTCCGTAGTATGCATTTATCCATCAAAATTCACATACTTATATGGCTCAGTCTTATAAGGTATTGATCATTTGTTTCTTATTGAAGCTATATAGCATTCACTAGCTCTTGTGTCTATTAATATATTTGGTCATGGTATTTTTTCTCTTCCATTAAAATATTCTCCACTTATTTTCATATTTCCTGTATTTTTGTGAAGTTTTGTTTCTCTTGTATAATTAGTTCATTCTAATAATTTTCTATTAGGTATCCTAAGGCTTGTTGATCTTCTGATTAATTTTTCATCTTTAAATATTATATTTTTATCAGGATATTCTTTTTCCCTAAATTCTACTATCTTAGGTTTATCTGTTAATATTCTAAATTCATATTCTTTTGGAATCAGGTTTACCTGCTTATTTGGTTCCATAATCTTGCTGATATTTTTACATTCCTTATGAACTTCTACATATAATTTTTTTGGAATAAATGTTTCCATAATTAGAGTTAGTAAATGTATATAAGGCTCTATATTCAATAGTCATAATTTGGTCTTCTGGTTGTATTATATCATTCTTATGTAACTTAAAATGCAATCCTAAAACTTCATTAAAGTTTTTATCTTTTAAAGATATACAATATTTTGGGTAACTAGTAAATATCATTTTTCGATATACTAAATTTCCTTCTATAGTCCCTAAATGACTATCTCTTGTATTCATTATTCTCCCATCATGTAAACTTACAGTTAATGATGAATCTATTCATTCTCTAAATAAGAATTTAAACATTATTTGTATTCCTACTAAATAAACATATTGGATCGTTTCACTTTGTTTTTTATTATTTTTTGTTAATAATTCGTCTACTATATTTTTTGTTAAAATGTTTAATTTATATGCTCCTTGGGTTGTCATAATATCTGTAGTTTTTTCAATTTTTTGGTATTCATTAATTGTTATCTTATCCATTTTTCCATATTCTATCGAAAATTTTCCATTTTCCAATTTTAAAATCTAAAGATAATTTTTATAATTTTTTGAATTTATTATTAACAAAAGTTACTTTTAATCCATAACCTTCCATTCCTTCATATTCTTGTATCTATATTATCGTTTTCTATTTGCTCAATTTCTTTATTCTTATCCATTATTTTCTGAATATGTCTCACTTATATACTTCTTGATCATAATATTCTCCAATATCAGATATCTCACTTAATTCATCTTCTATTTCTAAATATTCTGCTTGTGAAATCCCAACTTTCTTTTTATTACAATCTTGGCTTATATGACATATTTCTCCACAATTCCAACATCTACATTGGCTTTTATCTTTTATACCTTCTTTTATAGTATCTCCTTCTTGGTTTCAAATATTTTTTCTTAAAATTTCTAAATTTTTTAAATCTTCTATTCTTATATTTTCATTTTGTATTTTTTTCTTTCGGAATAACATCCCTATTGTGTAGGTTTTTCCATATCTTCATAACATATTCTTGT